CCCCCCACCGCCACTCCCCGCGCGTTCACCAGGCAACGGGCAGTTTGCAATGAATACTCTATCCTCGACTACATCCTGGTAGATAGATAGGGGGAGCACACATATCCCAGAGCTGCACGAAGTGCGATAGATATAGGTTCGACCGACCACTTCCTCATATGGGCAAACAACGACCGATCTAGGAAGATGGAGAGAAAGAAACAGGGGAAAGTGTTCCTCTGGAAACTAGAGCGTTTTGGAGACGAGGGGACACGAAATAGTATCCCAAAAGGGACTGGCTGGTAGTATAGAACCTTCTCGACACTGCTGAGAAGCGTCGAAGACGGAAAGGTAGACGTACGAGCAGCAGGGGACAGGGTGATTGAAGGGTGGGAGTCCATCGTGAACGTAACGGCAGAGAGAGTAGTGGGAAAGAAGGTGGTGCGATGTGGGGTATCGGTTAAGGTGGGATGACAAGCTGAAAGAAGAAATAGGGGAACGTAGAGAAGTCTTCAAGCAGTACCTGAGTGAGGCGTCTGAGGAGAGTTGCGACAAGTACAGGGCCAAGAGAAAACAGGTGAAGGGACAAGTGAAAAAGAAGAAAAAGTGCATTGGGACGAAGTAGTGCAGAAGGCCAACGGAGGCCTGGAGGGGAACGTCAAGCAGATGTGGGAAGGGACTAGTGGAATGGTAAAAAAGACCCTCCGAGGGGGGAAANCTGAAGTGCCACAAACCAGCAGGAGCGGATGGGATGGTCAAAGAGTTCATGAAGTTTGGGGGGAAGGGGATGATCCAGCTGATGGTACTGCTATACAATTGGGTGTGGAAAAACGAGTATACGCCAACGAGATGGAGGGAAGGAGTGGTTGTGAACTTGCGTAAGAAAGGAGACAAGACGGACCCAGGAAACTACAGGGGGATCACACTGTTGAACACAGTAGGAAACGTGTTCTGTAAGCTGCTGAACGATAGGATAGTGGGAGTATTGGAGCAGGAACATAGCATCAGTGAGGGCCAGGCAGGTTTCCGAAAGAAGAGGGGGTGCGTAGACCACGCATTCATGGGTGGGAGAATCATCCAAGGTAGAAAAAGGGCGCGAAAGCCGACGTACTGCTTCTTCCTGGACGTGAAAAAGGCATACGATACCGTATGGAGAAATGGGCTCATTCTTGGCACGACGGCAGCCCCGGGGCCCGCGGGGCCGCCCGCGCCCCAGGAGTCGGGCGCCGGCGACGCTGGCGATGGCGCCCCCTCGAGCACCTTTGCAGAGATTATGCCTGGCGATACCCCAACAAGCGATAGCGGCGGAACCACGATCGACTCGCGCGTGACGGAGCTGTCCAAGAGGCTGGAGGAGCAGAGCAAGGTGTTTATGTCTGTCATGGAGAAGCTAGGGCAACTTCAGATGCCGCCTGCCAGGGCGGCGGGGGCAGAAGAGGGGGAGTCAAGCGGCGCTGGCAACGCCGCAGGGCGCGGAGGAGCCGCGCTGGGCACACGGTTTGAGGTGCCACCCGGTGGAGTCGGGGGAGTAGGTCTCCCGGGCCACCCATCCGCTGCCCCCCCGCTAGGAAGCAAAGCGCAGGGAGTTTGAATGCAGGGGGTGATGGACAAGATGTCATCGCTGCTGCAGGCAATGCCAGATTGCGGAAGCCGAGGGGGATTAGGCGGTGCTGGAAGACGCGCCGCATCCTGCGGTGGGATTGTCGGAATCTCGCCGCCAGGCAGCTGCCTATCAGAGCTGCCCGCTGCGGCTGGCGTTAGAACAGATGACGCCGCTGGAGGAGAGAGCAGCAGCAGATCGGGCACGGAAGGTGAACCGGTGCGGGCGTTTGACGTCCCTGCAAAGGCCTCTGCGATGGGAGGCAGCGATGCTCGGGTCGACGTCCTTAGTGCTATGCCCTTGTTGTCTTCGTAGAGACTGTAGTGCTTGATGTTTAGATGCTTGTTATCTCTCACACCCGGTTGGAGGGGAAAAGGAGGGGGTGCCACGCACACGACAGCTGACAGCAGCTGGTGTGGGGGCTCCGCACAATCATTCTCTGGTCGTTCTACCCAACGCATACCTATGTGCAGGGCACGTGAAACAGTCATCTCGTCTACAGATCCGACTACGAACACCCTCCCTGGTTCTTTACGCAAAAGTAACTAACCACTTCTGTGGGATGCGTGCGTGCTTCCGCCACCTCAAGTCAAGTGTTTTTCCGCAACAACACAAATCAATACAAACCTAATGGGAAACCCGGCCACCAGGTCAAAACCCCTCCTTCCCAAGGACTGTACTCCGAAAAAGCAAGATAAAGACGCAAACAGGATAACTCCGACAACGAAATCGATCCGGGTAAACCTTCCCGCCACGTAATATCACCTTCCTAGTACCCAACAAAGTCCGATTGTCTGCAGCCACTGCCACGATTTTACTTTCACAAAGCCCAACAAAGTCTGTTGCAATTTTACTCCTACTGCCCTCCCCGCTCGACGAACAACTACCGATGATCTGAGTACCTAAAATCCTCCCTCCCCCTCGATTCCGGCGCATCGCGGCGCCCCCAGGGTCGGTGGTATATGCTATCATCCTGGGACAACTGTTTTGTCAAACACATCAAGTATGATACGCCTTCTCGCATACAACTCTCACTCCGACTCTCAGAAATCCAAACTTTAGCCTGCTTACACACAACTCTTCGACTCTCGGAAAAAAAAAGTCGATTCTCATCAGCCACCATACAGCACGCGTGGATATGGCTGCTCTCCCTCACTGGAAGAAATCTGTGGTCCATCATGTCGTGCGATAACCTCCCTCGCGCTTTGCTGCGAGTGGTACGCCATACACAATACCTCCTTCATTCAACGCTCGCGGAAAACACGCCTGACTATTTACTGCATCAAGAACTTATCATTGCTAAGGCTTCTTTCCCTCCTACAAGACAGTGATTCTCATCATGGGGCTCCTCCCCTTCTACAAGACAAACACTGATATACATTGTGGAGACGCCTTGCTACTGCGAATCCCTCAATATGGTGGAAACGTCTGGTACATGGGTCCACACCTACCTGCAGCAACGACGGAAATGTCACCTACAGCAGTACAACAGTGTCCTCCCCTCCCCGTTTCCTCCTCACGCACACAAGGTGATACATCTGGTACATGGGTCCACACCTATCTGCAGCAACAACGGAAATGTCATCTACAACAGTGTCCTCCCCGCCCCATTTCCACCTCATGTTGACGCCAGCACAATTTTACCTGCGCCGGTGTCTGCAACTTTTGATACACCGGGTCCTGTGTACCCCCTTTGTTTTTAGCCGACACGCTGGATAATGTTATCCCTGTGCGTGAGTTTTCATCGGCCGCGGGTAGCGCCTGTGCTGCATCCCCTCATCTGATACACCGGGTCCTGTGTACCCCTTTTCTTCAGCCAACACGCTAGGTACTGGTTTACCTCTGTGCGTGAGTTTTCATCGGCTGCCGGGAGCGCCTGTGCTGCATCCCCTCATCTGATACACCTGGTCCCGTGTACCCCTTCAGTTCAACCGACAGGCTAGATACTGGTTTACCTCTGTGCGTGAATTTTCATCGGTTGTGGCGAGCGCCTACGCTGCATCCCCTCCTTTGATACGCCTGGTCCCGCGTACCCCTTTTAATTCTGCCCCAGACAACGTTTTCATCGCCCGCGGACATCAAGAAATGGAAGCGCCTGTACCGCGAATCCCATCACAGAACGGCTGGTTTTTGGAGCCGAATAACCATCGTCGCATCAAACACCCGCGATAATACGCCTGCATGTTACCATCGAAAAAGACGAACTACAATTGCTCAACATAACTCCCACACTTTGGAATGGAAACGACTGAACCGCGAACACCAAATAAGAAAATGGAAACGCCGCAACCGCGAATCCCCTGTAGAAATTCGTTTCATTCGTCACAAGCAAAATCATTCAATATCTCTCACGAAGTCAACCAGAAAGAAGCGCCCCGCGGCAACGCCGCATTTTTGTTGGCCCTCGTTTAAAAGCACAGCAGATTTCGCGGTCTCGCCCTTGCTCCTCTGCGGCAATTCCACGTTCACCAGAATCGCCATGACTGCAATCCTCCAGTTCTCCCGGAGCGAGTACTTTTCCCGCGATCAACAGGCTCGTGTGTTGTGCCGCCCGCTACTCCACCGCCGACGCCGACGCCCCTTTGCTGCCTTGTCACTGGGCCGGTCCCAACAGGTCGCTCATGTTTGTGGCCCCGACGGATTATCCTCCAGGCTCCACCTCATGACACCTCGTCCCGAGTTCCCGGGGCAGTCAAGCTACCCCCAGCAGCGCCTCTCTTAGAGCTTCCAACTGTACAGAGAAAGTCGATGGTCTGGAACCCACGAAACCCACCATTTGCAGGGACGTCAAACGCCCGCACCGGTTCACCTTCCGTGCCCGATCTGCTGCTGCTCTCTCCTCCAGCGGCGTCATCTGTTCTAACGCCAGCCGCAGCGGGCAGCTCTGATAGGCAGCTGCCTGGCGGCGAGATTCCGACAATCCCACCGCAGGATGCGGCGCGTCTTCCAGCACCGCCTAATCCCCCTCGGCTTCCGCAATCTGGCATTGCCTGCAGCAGCGATGACATCTTGTCCATCACCCCCTGCATTCAAACTCCCTGCGCTTTGCTTCCTAGCGGGGGGGCAGCGGATGGGTGGCCCGGGAGACCTACTCCCCGGACTCCACCGGGTGGCACCCCAAACCGTGTGCCCGGCGCGGCTCCTCCGCGCCCTGCGGCGTTGCCAGCGCCGCTTGACTCCCCCTCTTCTGCCCCCGCCGCCCTGGCAGGCGGCATCTGAAGTTGCCCTAGCTTCTCCATGACAGACATAAACACCTTGCTCTGCTCCTCCAGCCTCTTGGACAGCTCCGTCACGCGCGTGTCGATCGTGGTTCCGCCGCTATCGCTCGTTGGGGTATCGCCAGGCATAATCTCTGCAAAGGGGCTCCTTCGAAGGAAACTCTATAAAGTATTCGTCAACCCTAAGTGGTATGCCCTTGTTGTCTTTGTAGCGACTGCAGTGCTTGATGTTTAGATGCTTGTTATCTCTCACACCCGGTTGGAGGGAAAGAGCAGGGGGTGCCACGCACACGACAGCTGACAGCAGCTGGCGTGGGGGCTCCGCACAATCATTCTCTGGTCGTACTACCCAACGCATACCTATGTGCAGGGCACGTGAAACAGTCATCTCGTCTACAGATCCGACCACNGCGTAGACCACGTGTTCACGGTAGGGAGAATCATCCAAGGTAGAAAGAGGGCGGGAAAGCCGACGTACTGCTTCTTCCTGGACGTGAAAAAGGCATACGACACACATACGCACTCACACGAACAGAACCAACTGTCCAAGTATGGGATCAAGGGGAAAATGTGGAGAGTGCTGAAGAAGATGACAGAAGTGTACGAAAGCACGATCATGTTAGACGGAGAACTGTCTAAATTCTTCGACATTGAGCAGGGGGTCCCACAAGGTTGCACGCTGTCCCCGGTGTTTATCAACGATCTGTTGGAAGTCGTAGAGGCAGTCCGCAAGGGAGTAAAAGTAGGGGACACGGAAACTTCGGTGACAGGAATGCTGTTTGCGGATGATTTTGTCGGTATGTCGGACACCCCTGAGGGACTGCAACTGCAAATTGACGCGGCGAAGAAGTTTACTGATATGTGGAGATTGTCTGCCAACGTTAAGAAGAGTGCCGTCATGGTATGCAACGAGGACAAGGAGGAACCAGTAGAACATAGATGGAAGTGGGGGATCGAGGAGATTGCAGTAGTGGACCAGTACACATACCTAGGAGTAGAGATCGCAAAAGACTGCTCGTGGAATGCACACATGTCCAAGGTAGCGGAAAAGGGCAAAGCACGAGCAGGGAAGCTGCACCCAATACTCGCAAACCGGCACCTCGATACACGCATCAAATTGACGGTTTTGAAGAGCGTAATGGAAGTAAGAAGGTAGTGAAGGAACTCGAGGCGGCGAAGATGAACACAGCGAAAATCATTCTAGGATGCTCCAAGCGCACAAGTAATGCAGCCAACAGGGCAGAGTTGGGGATCCAATCCCTACGGTCGGGAAGAGACGCGAGGAAGCTGACATGGCAGTATCGCATGTGCGGGATGGGAGAGGAGAGGTTGCCGAGAATTGTATGGGAGGCGAAGTGGGCAAACAAAAAGAGGGGTAGACAACCCACGGAATGGGTCAAGGTTGTAGAGGACGTATGGAAGGGGCTCGACATCGGCGAAGATGAAACGCTGGAAACGGAGGGTCTACAGGGGTTCAAGGAGAAGATATCTGTTGCTTGTGCCGAGAGAGAAGAACATAATCTAAAGAAAGAAACCAAGGATAAGGAGGGCCTAGAAGTGTGTGTGTTGTGTTTTCGTCCTATTTATTATGGCGACAGTCCCCCCATTTTTCGTGATGAGACGTGTGCTACACTTTTCAGCGTATGTACCGTAGACTACTACACTTTTCAGTGTATTTTTCGTACAACTACAACTACAACATCCAGGGTCACACAGGAGGGGGTAGACACCAGGTTTTTCTTCTTTTTCTTCTTTCATGCCCCTTTCTTCTTTTTATTCTTTCATGCCCCGCCTTCCTCCTGCGGTGCGTGCTGAATTTTATCTTTACCGCGAGAAGGGTCCAGCCGTCCCTTTCCCTCGTCAACGGTGCTCACGTCCAAGTTTGGTACTCACGAGAGCTTTTTAGCTATATTTCGCTTTCACCCGCAAATTTCGTGCATTTTTCACCCCACGGGGATTCGAACTCACGACCTCTGCGACTAGCGGATNACTGAGAGGTGGAGCTTGCTGTGTAGCTTGAATTGAAGGGCTAGCCCGTAGCTTCAAGCCGCTACCCTGGTCATCCTGTGGGAGTCTCTCGATGTGGAGTTACAGCGGCGAGGATAAGCTACAGTAGAGCCCACCGCCCGAGGCAAAACCGCCCTGCAACAGTTTGAGGCAGGAATAGCCAATCTGGGGAAATNGCGGGGAGCAGAAGCTACAGCAGAGCCCACCGCCCGACGCGATACCGCCCTGAAACAGTTTGAGCAGAAATAGCCAATCTGGGCAAATCTAGCAACTTGTCTAGCTCCTCGCTGCAGCATCCGATGACGATGACACGCATATGCTCGTGACGCTGCTGATGAGACCTTCAATTTGCGCCGCTTCTTGGAACAGCCCGCCCCCAACTTCCCAAGAAATGGCAAGAGGCGTCTGGACCCGAATATTATTTTTTTTGGCTCTCGCTCTCAAATTAATTCATGCTTCGCTCTCAATTTCACCAACATGTTGTTATAGGACGGTAGACGATGAAGACGACGAGTTCAGCTGATTGCGGCTTCGAATGCGAAGACCATGTTCATGTAGTCGCGGAATGTCCGGGGTATAATGAGAGGGAAGTGTACGTGACTGAGCTGGGAAAAATAGATGGGACGTACGGGGAGATGTTTGAGGCATGGAATAGAGAGGAAAGGACGGTAGCTGTA